TCTTTTCCTTCAGTTCATACTTTTTGTAGTCCATAGTCTGCCTAATCTTGTTGAATTTGGTGTTCAATATTTTTGATATGGGTTTTCCCCTTTCAAAGTTGTAGGTCTTCTCTCCAATCTTGAGTTTCTTGAGTTCCTGTCCATTCCGTTTCAATATCTCACCCTGTTCGGATGACAAAAGATAATCTAAAACAATCTGCTGTGAAGTGTCCATTATAGTATATTCTATATTATTATTAGTGGATGTTTCTTTAAGTAGTTTTTCAGTTTCCATTGTTTGTTGAGGATGTTGCGGTTGATTGGATTGGTTGTCTGATTGATTTTTAACATAAAATGTCTCTGTTGAATGTTTCAACCTTGTATCCTCTGCCATTTACTCCTTACCCTATAAGGTGGCATTTCTTTAAGTAGTTTTGGGTATTGGTTGCCTGTTGGAATTTCTGGGATTGGGGTTGGACTTCAACATAAAAACCTTCTCAATAAAAATGTTTGTTATTGAGAAAATTTTGGATTGGAAAACCCTTTGAACGAAACGTGCCGTAAGGTGTCTTAAAGCACCTTTCAACATTGGCATCTGTTTCTCATACAAACGTTGGTTTGACGGTGTTTGGATAAATTGGATTTGGACGAAATGGTGCGTCCGCAGTCGGGACACTTGAAGGGTGTTGAGAGTTTCTTTTGATAGTATTTTGAGAAGTATTCGGGGTCTAATGGTTTGCTGACATAAGTTCCATCGGGTTTCCATCTTGTAGAGGTTTGGATTGGGGGTTCTTGGACTGTTTCTGGATTGAGTGCTTCAACCATTTGGTCAAAGATGTCCTCATCCATTTCTTGCTTCTTACCATCAATTACTAAATAGCAGGGCATATCAAATCTTAATTACATAAGGCGACTTGTCTTTAAGTATCTTTGGGGTGTTCTGTGTTCGCAAATGAGGTGTCCCAAAATGATGTGAAAAGAAATTCGAAAAGACCAGTTTAGGACACTTGTTGAATACTGTTCCTGCCGCTGTCAAAGTTGTTAGAATGCCATTGTCGTTGTTGCAGCTTGTTGGGAAACTGCAACTGCATTGCCTTCAGTTGAAGTTAGCAGTATGGCGAAGCCTCATTGCCCAAAAAACATGCTCATCTGCCATCAACTCCTGCAGGGCGGATGGTTTGTCTCTCTTCGTTTCCACGAAAAAACAACTTGAACTATTTCATCACATATGCCTATATATATATACACATAATAAACATTAACCCTGCCACACCGTCCAAACCCGTTGGATGCTCCAGACCACTCCGACGAAACTTGATTTCCCTGAAGAAACAAGATGAACAAATCGGGAGGATTAAAGGGTCTGTGGGTTTGCGCGGGTGTGTGGTGCATATGAACCAATACATGCTCAAGGGGCATGGACAGAATGCTCCCCCAAAAGATTGCTAAATTAATCATCGCCAACGTCAAGTTTTGGAGACTGCTTGGAAATGTCATTCCAGCAAATCTTTGGTTGGATTTTCACCGAAACAATCAGGTTTTGAAGGCTGTTTAATAGTTCGCTGCTTCAAGGCTTTGATAGAACCCGTTTCCAAAATCTTGCATTATGACAAATGCTGGGATTGACCTTCTAATAGATGGTGTCCCTGATGCCTTCACAACCTTGGCGCGGACGCATTCGGCAAGTGGAAGAGGGCAATTGGATGCAATTGGATACAGTAAAGCAGTGAAAAGTGGTTGATATCATCACCAAACTTCTGGGCCTGAAGAATGCTACATTTGAGAGTGCCAATCCAACAACTGCGAAACTAACCAATCTTCAATCTCTGCCATTTCATTTCACTTTTGCTCATCCAGTCTTGGAACACTGTGCAGTCTGTCACACCGGTGCATTGTGCAGCGCAGATAGAATGCATCCCGGATTGAAGGGTAGGTGCAACCCCAATAAAAATCATCACCTTTCTGTGTTTTGCCAGTCTGGTTGGACGCAATGCGGATTGCACCATCCATGAATCACGAATGGCACCTTCAGTGCATAACGGATTGCACCCGACCTGCAATCCAAAAGTCCTACTGGTCCTACAAGGAACAAAGCACTCTCATTCACACGCCACTGCCACTTCCGCCTTCAGACCTTCTTCAAAAGGTCATGCACTTTGCGGGACACTGCGCAGTAGCGTCGCTCCTCTGCCCGCGCATCCACATAGATGCAATGAGCGCTTCGGTTCCGCACCGCTCTCGCCACGTCCGCAGGCGTGAAGTGCTTCATGAACCGCTTGGCATCGACACACTGCTCGAAGGAGCTATGCGCCACGGCCTTGCGCCACTTCCGCCTTCAGACCTTCTTCAAAAGGTCATGCACTTTGCGGGACACTGCGCAGTAGCGTCGCTCCTCTGCCCGCGCATCCACATAGATGCAATGAGCGCTTCGGTTCCGCACCGCTCTCGCCACGTCCGCAGGCGTGAAGTGCTTCATGAACCGCTTGGCATCGACACACTGCTCGAAGGAGCTATGCGCCACGGCCTTGGCCAAGGTGCGTGCCATCCTCGCCTCTTTGGGGCCAAAGCCACCTTGGTTGTCAATGAGAACTTCTCGACCTGATATTCTTGCACCACAAGCCGTTTGGACTTTGCTTCTTCCCATGATGTCTCTTTGGTGTTTTGCGCCACGTCCTGCAGGAGATGTGGGCAAGTTTCAAGGTTTCAACGTTCGTTGATGTTTCGGGTTGTTGTCCCATGGTTTCATGACCCTTGTCCTCCATTACACCGATGTTGCCACCTGTGAGTTGAATCATATCGCTCTTGTGCTTGGAGGCCTCTTCACCGCCATGATGATGTAGGAATTCCTCAACCTGACAAGGAGACGTCCATCTGCAAACATCCCAACCCATGCCAGAAGTAGCACCAACAAAAAGCACTAAAGTGATTGAAGGTGACTGAACAATTACCACATGAACTGAAGCTCTCCATTATGGCCTCCTTCTGCGAGAGCTCTTCACTCGTCAGTGGTGGAACGAAGAATCGGCGCTCACGACCGTCTGCGTCAAAAGCCATGGCTGACACTGCAGAACTGACCATCACCAGCACTTTGGCAACCTCGTCATCAAAGCCCCATGACTTCGTAAAGGCGGAGACGCTGCTCATCACAGATGGCTCGAAGACACCACGAGGAACTTCAAGGATGATGATGGGTTTTCGTCCCATTCTTGTCTTGGCACCTCTCAAACCACGCACCACCTCCTCTTCATGGAGCACTGCCAACGCGCTCATCACCTTTTCCGTGGCCAAGTGATTGTTCTGCGTGAGCTTGATGTGGAGCACTCCATTGTTCCACTGTTTCTCCTGCAACACTTCCCAAAGGATGGTGCTCTTGCCAACTTCATGGTTCCCCCAGATGACGATTGGGCGGGGGTCGTCCAAGTCCAACAACTGGTGCATTTCGTCCTGCCACAGTGCATAGTGAGCATAGTGCATCAAATTCAAAATGTCAGTATGACATGAAATAACACCTATCTCAAGAACAAATCCCTTCTGTCAAGAAACGCAGGGACAAACACAACAAAAAAAAGGTGGTGCTTGGACGCCTTGATTATCTTCCGTTCAATCTTGACACGTGGCTCGCGTGCTTTGAAAGAGGCATTCACAATGATATTCTTCACTCGCTCTTGTTCTTGACGATGCCGTTCTTGTTCTTGACGATGCCGTTCTTGTTCTTGACGATGCCGCCACATATCCCATCCAAAGGTCACGATGGCCAACGAGCCACCACCACCAACCAACCACTTTCCAATCTGCTGTTTCGTGGTCGGCTCCTTCTCTGGAGCGTTGTTTGAGAAGCAACGGTGGTTTCGTCGGCCTGACATGAGAAGCCGAAAACCACAACATCGGGCAATGAGGCAACGCGACATACCCATGGCGGAAATCTCCAGAACTGGGACTGTGCTGGAGCTCAAGCACTTTACGATTTCTTGATGCGTTGACTTGTTCATAGTGCAACACATGCCGCAAGTAGAACTCATCTTATCTTGTGAGCATTTGTGAGCCTGTCTGCTGCGGGAGAAAGCAATCAACATCTCTGGGTGTAGTGTAATGCCACAATGTGTACATAGAGTGTACATAGTGCCTCAAGAAACGCAATATGTCCTCAAAAGTGATGCTTCCATGCAAACGAAACAGCGCGCACATCTCATCTGGGCGCCCCCGACGAAATCCAGAAAGTCCATGAAGAAGTCCGCAAAAAATGAGGCGAAGCGAAAGACGTTCAAATCAAAACACAACCAAGAAAAAACGCCACCAAAAAAGACGAGAATGAGAGAATAAAAAATGAAAGATGTTGAAAGACATGGAACCTTTTGAAAGATATCAAGTTGAATGTTCTGTCTTGAAACTGATGATAAGGAAACACAATAAAATCATACCCAAAAAAAATCCAAAAAAAGACAAGACATACCTTGACAATAAAAAACGACAACCACAAGTACACTATCCACAGTATCTCACTCATCTGAACCAAAACACAAACCCCAACAGCCTAAACAAATCCTACCCTCATCTGAACCAAACATTGACACATCACTTTAGCATCAAAATGACCCCCAAAACCCCACCTGAAAAATCATCAAAACCAAGGATGAAACATTGAACCCCAACACAAAATCATAACAAGCAACATACCAACATACACGCCCTGAAACCCCCATTTTACCATTTTTTTCCCAGATTTGTGTTGTTCACATATTCAGACAACATCAAAAACCGACTGACCAAGTGACTGGCTAACTGACTAGCTAACTAAATAAATAAATAACCAACTAACTACCTACCTAAGCAATAGACTAACTAACAACAAACAAACAAACAAACAAACCAACACAAACCAAACCAAACCAAAACAAAACAAACAGAGAAACAAACAATACAATGGTATAAAGTTATGAAATAAATGCAACATAATGATCAAAATGTAAGACCATACATGATGTATTTCGAAATGTCTGGATATCGACTGCCGTTGGCATCGCCTCTCCCAGATAGAAACGGTCCAAGCCCAGGAAGCCTGGCAATTTTTGAAGTTCTCCAATGATTTACAATGAACTTTCAATGAACCAACGGTGTCTTCATGCTTTCCAATGATTTTCCAATGATTTCCGACGTATCCAAGTGACTTCTGTCAATCCAATTTGCTAAGGCTATGACAATTCGGATCGGTAAGACTCATTCAGTGAATGGATTTGAAAGCATCACTCGTGCCCCCGGGTCCTGTGAAAAGAGAAAGCAGGAAAGCTGAACCTCAACAGGGCACAGCTCCCCACCGTTCCCCACTTTCTGAAGCTGTGCTATCCCGCGGACGCTCCCCAAGATCAAAGCCGTTCTGACAAGAATACTGCGTCAACTGAGAATGAGCAAGGAAGCAACTGGATGTCAAACTAATGAATGTGATCAAGCGAATCCCAAATGACTTTGCCACATGTCAAAACACTAGATCAGGTTCTCAACTCGAAACGGATAAGTGCAAAAGAATCTATGTTCTGCGTCGGGAATTGTAAGCTCCGACAGTTGAGGAATTTGAGGAATCTCATAGCACCAGGACAACATAGGACAACCCTACATTGGTAAACGAGTGGCGCTGCGATTTGCGCCCGGTTCGGCACTCTGGATCCGTCCAGCCAGTGGCGCACTGCACAGGAAGGAGGCAAACAGGCGTGATGGGAAAGCATGGACACAAACGGACGCAATGCATATATTTGAGTAATGAATATATTTGATATATTTTCATCGTCTGGAACCCCAAAAGAGCCCAAATGGGGGAGATCACGATTTGAAGACATACATCCGCTGACATCTGCCAGTGAAACTTGCATCTGCGTAGACTGCATAAATGTTTCGTACGTGGTATGCAGCTGACAGCGCCTGGCAAAAGGAGAGTCCTGCAAGGATCTCTCACAGCATCCCACACAGTACCTAAGATCCCAAGATATCCCAAGATACACAACCTGCAGTAGGCGTAGTCTCAATGTGAATCCGACCCCGGGTCCTGCGGCAAACTCCTTGCACTCGCCATGCCCGTTGCACTGGCGCAGCGTGGGGTCAAAGGCTTGAGGACAAAGGCCAACTTCAAATGGATGCTCATCCACCCTAAGAATATTATATGTATATATATATATATTTATAATATATATATATTATAAATATATATATATATATTATAAATATATATATATATTATATATTATAAATATATATATTATAAAAATATATATATTATATATATATTATAAATATATATATACATATGTAATTGTATATATAACTATATATTGTATAATATGTATATATATATATGTGGTCACGTATATGTATATATACACGATGTTAGAATACTATGTATTTGTATATATCCTATTAATATATATATATTATATGGTCACCGACAGAATTATGGAAAAAAAGAAACGTTCAACTTAGACAGGCGGCGCCTGCGTCCGATTTTTCCATAATTAGGTTTTTCCCCATAAGGGTTCAAAATATCCCGGAAGTGATCCGAACCTTTTTTTTTCCATAATTCTTGGAGGTGGCCATTATTTCCATAATTGTTTTTTCCTGTAAAATCAGGGGGCTAGGGCAGATTGACCGGTTTTTCCATAATTATTTTTTTCCATAATTATTTTTTTCCATAATTATTTTTTCCATAATTAATGTTTGGGGCTCCACCTGTTGGACATGTCATGGATCCACAATTCAAACCCCTTTTTTTGGGGGGTTATGGAAATATGTATGCAAATGCAAGTATGTAGTATCAACCCAATTGGTGGCTTGGCAAAAGGATACATCCCGCATATGTATGTACGTACAACAATGAGTTTTGGTTGCAATTGCTTTTCCTGTGTTGTACCACTATGGAAGACTTAGGGGCATATACCAGATCTTTAGACACATATTTTCTATAATTCAATATTCCCCCTTAAAATGCATTCAAATTGCGAATCGATGGACATACAGTCACCGACAGAATTATGGAAAAAAAATAATTATGGAAAAAATAATTATGGAAAAAAAAAGGTTCGTAACTTTTCTATCATAGACAGGCGGCGCCTGTAAATTGAAACGTTTTTTTTTCCATAATTCTGTCGGTTCCTGTACACATTATGTAATATATTATATATATTAATAATTAATGTATGTATCTTATATATATAATACAGCTTGAGTATTGTACAAGAATTCACTGTATAAGAATTTGAGGGGCTCGAATCCAAGGCGGGTTACATATTTTCAGCTGTACTAAACACATAAGACTTTAAGAATTTGAGGGACCCTGGAATAGGATTGCCAAATTCTTAAGTTACTCCTTATACGTAAGGTTTGCAATTCCCCTTTGCGTTTCTTTTTTTTGCGGCGTGATCCCTTATATGGTCTTACGGGATGAAATCGGGTTTTGCAGAAAAACAACTTTTCAGGCTCGATTTTTTTTTCGCGCATGCTTGGACTGCTTCCAATCCACATAAAATCAATATGTGGGTAGACTTGGGGACCTGAAATATTGTTTTCTTTAAGAACTTGAAGAAAACTGAGGCTTTGCAGAAAATCAATTTTTCAAGCTCCGAAAAATTATTTTTTTCGCGCATGCTTGGAGTGCTTCCAATTCGGACCTGGGTTTACCAGAAAATCCGGTCCAAAGGATAATGCCGGGAATCGAGCCCGCGGCCCCAGGTCCTTAGCCCAAGGCCTTTTCCATAAACAAGGCAATCAACAACAAGGCTAGCTAGAGTAAGCAACAAAGTTTACGGAAACAGCGCTCTGCAGAAAAACAATTTTTCAGGCTCCGAAAAATTGTTTTTTTGCACACTAACCTTATGAAACTCAGACCAGCCCAGCTTTGCAAAAAAAAACAACTTTTCAGGCTCTAAAAAATTGTTTTTTGCACACTAACCTTATGAAATTCAGACCAGCCCAACTTTGCAAAAAAACAACTTTTCAGGCTCTAAAAAACTGTTTTTTTGCACACTAACATTATGAAACTCAGACCAGCCCAGCTTTGCAAAAAAAAACTTTTCAGGCTCTAGAAAATCATTTTTTCGCATACCTCTTGTCAAATCTGCCAACTCCACCTTGTTACCTCACTTTTGCTTGCTCCAAACTATGCAGATGCCTGCAATACAAAACTAAGAATGCCCTAAGAATTTGAGGGACCCTCAGCCTGTTGTGGTGTAAATTTGCCTGCATTTAAAAATAAGAATTTGAGGGACCCTGGGCCTCAAGCTTTCGGATTCTTAACCAGCGCTCGGGCTGTATTATATAATGTGGTATTTCAACGGTAGCTTTTGATTCATCCCCATCTTACCCATCTTTCAATTCCATCGCCTTCTGCGAGTCGTCCAGCTCTGGAAGGCTACAGGAGTTGATGGAGGACTGGCAGAAGGCATCCAGCCCATGCTGGCTCTTCTCTGGAAAACCGATGGAAGAAACTAATGGATTTTCTTGAGGAAAACAAGGAAACTTAAGAAAACCATGGAAAACACGGAAAACCATTGGTTTTTACGCCCAAAATCTAGTGGTTTCCTGAAAATGGTCCAGCCAAATCCAGAAAAATAATGAAAAAGAAGCATCTCACTGCTCTGACCTCGTTGCTGTTATCCCCTTGCCTTGGTCACTATGCGCATTCCGCCGGTCGTGGCCTCATATCCCGTTGTCGAGCCGAGGGATCCAGGTGTAATTAATCTGATCATAGCTGATGCTGATGGTAGCAAATCTGATGCTCATGGATCTTCGCACCCAAGGCCCATGTCCAGCACATGGTAGCAAATGTATCCAAATGTACCAAATGTAATGCACTTGGCCCGCCGCTGTCGTTATGCCAGAATCTCCCTGCAAACCGAAACTTCTCAGATTGGACACGGGAGAAATGCTCAGCAGATCATGTCTCGGTAGTACTATGGCTTACCTGACAATCTAATCGCACCAGTGCAGGGATAGGCAAAACATGGCAAAACTCACTGGCACATAGCACCAGGATTTGGCAGGCACCTCGACCTGGGTGTTCTTCACCGAAAAAGAAAGCATGTAATTGGGCCTTGGGCGTTGCTGGGTATCGCTTGGTATCGCCTTATCGAAACTTCAAAGCTAGCATTCCAGAGCCCCAAACCTCATCTCCCATGTACCGGATGAATGGCTGACCATGATGTCGCAGCCTGACCAAATCACTCAGCGACTGTTCAAGCCACGCGCCCCGTGCTGCGCTGTTCAAATCCGTTGCAATCATTGGGTCAGCTTCCAACGGGTTTGGCTGCTCGTAAATGGAAATGCCATATGTATCCATATGTCAAATGTGCCAGAATGTGCTGGAGACAGCCATGATACTACATTGATCCACACTGTACCTGACTGTACAAGCACCAGGCCTTGCAAGTTCATGGCGGCCAACGCCAGCACTAAGAGCAGCTTGGATCGACCACCAGAAGGGGTCAGTTCAACAGCAGAGCTGAAGTAGCTCAGGATGCCAAACCTAAATCAGCAGAGAAATGATGTGACAGAGCGCATTCCCCCCAGCCAGTTCCCCGTTTAGGTTTGTTGGCACTGAAACTTCTGGCAACCAGGTATCCGGCAAAAGCAGAACAGATGGTCCTGTGCTGCACTGAGAACGACAATATCCTGCACCCTTTAGCACAAGCCTGTTTGAAAACAAAGAAGGAAACACTTTACCCTTAAGACAACACATTGACAGCCAAATGAAGTGGACTAGTCTGAATCCTTCGGGGCTCCCTCTTTCCAGCACTGGCCTGGCGTCTGTCTCAAAAATCATCAACCCACACGTGCAATGGCTTAGCTTCAGTCCTGCAGATCTTCTAGCGCTGTTCCCAGTGCATTCGGCCGAAGGTGCCGTTGCAGTGGAGTACCTGTCATGTGATGCCCAGACTGCTGAAGTCATGTTGCGACATGTGTCTCAGCTGATACCACCAGATTGTCCTATTCCTATTCTTCTGGATAGCTCGATAGTTGGGTGGCTTGCATCCACTGTGCTTCAGTGCAAATGTGTTCGCTCTGGTCCAAGTCAAAGAGAACATTCCAAGAGAACATGCCAGTCGCACCCTGTGAAGTTGCTAAAAGGTTTCTCGAAGTGCACGCCCTGCAGGGGGCAAACGGATGTATCTGTCTCAAGCCCAGAGCAGCTCAGCCGACCTTCTCTGGAGTGCATTGCACACTCTCGTCGCAGCACTCGACATTGCAGGCATCCAAATAGCCCCTGGCACGAGGCCCACGAGTGTTGGGAAAGAGTGAAGCATTGCACAAGATTGCACAAGTAGCATTCTCTACCCAGGGGAATCGGAGGGAACAAGGCGACCTTCCTTATTACTGTAATCTACACCCCGCCAACCAATTTGGTCCTGCACTCGCTTTGGCAGGGTATGAGGTATGGAATCTTCTCACCCTTCTTGCAGTGGACCTTTGCAAGTCCAGGTCTGTTCATCTGGTTTGCAGAGTCATGAAAAAACCCTCTCACATGTCTTCCCATTGGTGGGTATCACTACTTTCCGATTCTCGACCACGTGGTCCTCTGTTTGAGCTGTCCAGCCATGATCATCCAACCCTGGACCAGATCTGCAATGCCTTCTGAGCAACAAACTGGAGCCTTCGGCAAATAAGTGGAGCATACCATCCGCCAAACTGCCTGGGCCACATTGAAGAAGTTGTGGTCTTCCTAACACCTGACCCCGGTGACTTAACATTTGAATATACTTGAATCCTGATGGCTTGAAAAAATGACACATCATCTGAGAAAAATGTAGAAAAATAACTCCACCAAGATGTTTCCAATTTTTTCCAAAGATGTTAACCATAGATGGTCCACCCAGGTGCGTGTTTGTGCCTGCACGCAAGCATCGCCGTGCGCTTCAGGCTGCCTGTGGGGAGAGTGTGCCAGCTTGAAAACACAGAGGTCAAAGGACTACTGTAAGCAAAATAAGAAATGGGCGCTTTCTCGTTCAAAAAAGTGCACTTGACAAGTATCTTGTGCTCGCTCCTGAGCAGAAAGTCTCTTTTGTACTAGTGCTCTAATTCTGGAGTCCAGGTCGTCGCCACTTTCGCATAATGTTTGGGAGCTACAAGGTGACGACATTGCAAAATCACCTTTAAAATTACTTGGAATAGCGCAACACATTCCTGAACTATTACAAAATTTGAGCCTTTCTTGGAGCCTTTCTTGGAGCCTCAGGGAGCAGAGTGCAAAACCCTCACTGCCTGCTGTCCCAAGGATCCTTCTTCATCCCAGACAGGTGGTAGAAATACCTGGCCAAGTCACTGATCCAGAAAACAAAAACTGACCCACACCGCCCATATCACTACGATACGCAATGTCTCACGCTGTGGAGGCCATCTCCTCCTGCTTTTTCACCTCGGTTGGCAAACAATAGTGGTATCATCGGTATCATGTCAATGTGGTATCCAAGTATCCAACACCACCGTCTTCTCATTCAATGCAACGATTGCAACGTGTATTGATGTTGAAGCCTATTGAAGCCTAAACAAGTTACAGGTCTTGTCCTAGAACAGTGTGATGAGATGCAGTACAAAACTCGTTTGCCTGACCCTTCGCCAAAACTGCGGGACATCCCTGGGCTTCCAAGCAGTTTCGCTATCCCTTGGCGAGAAATGTCAAACCAGCAAGCAGGTCGACTGGGGGTTCTTCTGTGATCTGCATTTTGAGAGCACGTAAGTCTTGACGCACCACTACCATAAAGAGAGGGGAGGGGTTGCCTTCATCTGCAAGTAAGGTGCAGCTGACACTGGCTGAGGCTGCTCTGGGCTCCAGCACGTGTGCATTAGCGCCACTCGATGTTGAACGGCGCCACCACAGAACTGACCAGCTGTTTTGTTTTGGCATAGGAGCAAGATTTTGGGTACTTCCGCCATCATCATCGTCCCGAATCATCCCTTTTCGCCTCTTTTGAGCAAGTTTCCACTTCCAAGGGGTAGTTGAGAACTTTTAGAAACATCAGAATGTTTATCCTCATCATCATCATAATAATCATCATCACCATCACCATCACCATCACCATCACTTGCAAGGCACTCGGGTCTCGAGCATGCCACTTGAAATCAACTTGTTTAATTACACTGTTCCTATGCAAAGTACAAACTCGTCACTTGTGGAGAGGTTACAAACACTGATTGCTAGCTCGATGCCATTCAAAGCAGCACTCGTTGCATTGTCGTGACACCCGCAAGTACAGGGCTGATCAACATATAAAATGTAGCAGTATTGCGAACGCATGAAGTTGCATCACGTGCTAGCGGATAACTTTCTCCGCATGGAACTCTGGACTGCAATTTAAACGCGCGAATCTGGGCTAAAGAAAGAGTAGCCCCACCTGAACGCAAGTCGATGCGACTTCTGGGAAACCACTTTCGCAAGAAATGAATGTACAAGCATTGAATCGAGGCGACTTCTTGCACTAACAGTATCGCTTTAGTATCCGTTACATATACAGTAAATACATATGTCATACATGTACTGTAATGTACTGTATATATATATATACATATATGTGTTCCAGTTTGCTTTGCTGGATCCCTGTTATTTTTGCTGCTTGCCCGCTTTAAAGAGGCAGACCGTTCACAACGTCACAGTACAACGTCTAAGACCGTACCAGGCCCCCAAAAGATTATAACGACACATTGTATTTCACAACACGTCCATGGTGTGTCCCCTCTCATCCAGTGGCCTGGAGGGCAGGTTTACTTTCTGGATCGGGACATGTCCAATCTGCTGCCTGCACTTGCGAAGGCAACAGGAAACTTGTACTACAGTAGATCTACGGTAGTACTGCTTCATCATCAAATTTCCTTCCAAGACATGTCCCTCTTCGCTCCCTGATTGTCATTTGAAAAACTGGAAATACTTCCTCCTTCATGTCGCTGGTCCAGTGATCATTGACTCAAGGATCGACAAGACTTGGAAATTGTCCCGTGATCATTTTGGACTCTACTGAGTCTGTTGGCGAAAGGTCAGTTCCGCCTGGAGCTTCTCTAGATCTTGAAGCCCCGGAAAGATGGGGTTGATGCAGTTGTGTTGCCTTAGCACTGGCTGAGCTGTTCAGCACATTGAATTGATGGATTAAAATGATTAAAACAAAATCAGAGCTCAAAAGCGCAGATGTTGCGAGACGTCAGTTTAGAGTCCGCAGGAGTGCTCTATTCTGTACACCATGGTAGACCTCTTCACCCCAATGTGACTTTGGAAATGATATCCCTTTGTGTCCACTAGTACGCAACTCAGGAGATTTCTTCAACTGATTCCGCGCCTGCAAATGGCATTGGTAGAAAATCGATCGACAGGTAATCGATCGACCACTGCCTGTCACACTCCGAGTCGCCGCTTCAACCAGTACTACACTAATATTATATATATATGCTTACATTATGTATGTGTACAATTGTAAACAGATGTAAATAGTATCTCATAATATCTCATCGTACTGTATCTCACTACGCAAGCTGCTTGGCCAGGGCTTTCACAACTTCAGCAAGCTGAGTTTCACATCACTCAATTTTCTCTGGACCTCTGAGGTCACGAGAGCAGTGCTCCAAACAGCAATGGCCTGAGTGTTGGTATACGAATGGTTCGAATGGTTCGAATGGTGCTGTAATATGCTGCAATCATTACTGTAATCGTATGTAATGGTCACACATGGTCACACTCTGGTTATCTCTCACGTCTGAAAGCATACGCTTAAAATATGCTAAGAATTATTGTGTGAGCTGAGGTTCAAGACTCTATTCCAGCAGGTTTAAAGAAATTTGGATAATTATATATTCACTTCATGTCACTTCGATGTCAGACGGACGTCGTGAGAATTGTTGATGGTCTTGCCACAACAAAACGTTGGAGATCTGACGGGGGGCAACAAACGTTGCAGTCTTGGGGCGGCCACAGAAGCTGACGGCATTCTCTAAGTTCTTGAAGCAAACGTAATGTTCCTCCAGCGGTAGGTGTGCTTTTCAAAGGGCTAACAAATAGACCCCATCAAAACCCCTGCAGTCAGAAGAGTATCATGTAAGGATTGTGACTAGTTACGACTAGTTGTTGAAGTATAATTGTTTTCTCTCGCTTTCTCATGTTTTATGAGTACAAGAAGTGATTGTTCCTTGAATGCCCGACATGGAATCCTCGCCACAGCCATCTCCAGCTCCAGTCCTTACAATACCGGGTAGGTGTGCCTGCCACCTTGGCACGGTGAGTGTGTGCGAGGTCATATTGACATATTGAGTTCCCCATCCTATCGAAGACTAAGTGACTAAGTGACTAAGTGACTTAGAGTCCAGATTGGTAGCAATTTCAAAACCTTAAAGAAGCCATCAAAAGATGTCCAAACCCTTGCGAATTCTTGTTTTGGATCTGGGTGCCATCCCTTCTTGGGGACTGGTGTCACAAAAAATTCGAAATGAACTGGTGAAGACTTCTGCATCTGGGTTCCTCTGCGGGGCCGGTGCAAAGTCAATGGTCACACGGCCGCTCCGAGCAATTTGGCTGCGGTTCAAAATGTGAACGTTCGAACGCCCGCCAGCAGCACATGACATGCGACGAAAAGGCATAGCCTAAAGGGGTACGAAGCACCGTGGCACTAAGAAGGCACAGAACCTTCGAAACCTTAAAATCCTATAAATAATTAACTATATTGTCCACAGGACTGTTGCTTCAAACCAAAAAGTTATATATACTGTTGTCTTCACAGCCAAACCATCACACCTACCAGGCAGATTTCCGAACTATGGAAACTGTCGGAAAACTCTTGAAAAAGATCTTGATCTTGTTGTTGAGCCGAGTGGGCTTGCCAAGTGTATGTCACCAGATTTGCTATGCGCTGGTTACCCGGGCCAACAGGATTCCCAGCTCATACGGGTGCCGAGTGCTAGCAAAGACCGCTCCTTTTTTTGCATTGCAGCTGATTCATGCACAGCAGCTGCGCCGATAGCGCAATGGCTGGCAGCCTGCAACAAAGGTGGTCGAAGAGATGAGATCCCCGTGAAACATGTTGCAGAGCTCCTACGAGACCGCACCAGTTGCATGTTGCTACTTATTTTAGTATGATTTGATTTGACACAAGCCTAATAGCTGTAACAGCGAGCACGATCTAGTCTAGAGCACGATTTTTGGCACGAAGGAGAGCACCAAAAAGCACGATCTAGAGCACGATTTTTGGCACGAGGGAAAGCGATTTGTGGCACGAGGGAAAGCACCAAAAAGCACGATTTGTGGCACGAAGGAGAGCACCAAAAAGCACGATTTTGTGCACGAAGGGGAGCACCAAAAAGCACGATCTAGAGCACGGTTTTTGGCACGAGGGAGAGCACCAAAAAGCACGATTTTTGGCACGAGGGACAACAACAAAAAGCACGATTTTGTGCACGAAGGAGAGCACCAAAAAACACGATCTAGAGCACGATTTTTGGCACGAGGGAAAGCGATTTTTGGCACGAGGGAAAGCACCAAAAAGCACGATTTGTGGCACGAAGGAGAGCACCAAAAAGCACTATTTTGTGCACGAAGGGGAGCACCAAAAAGCACGATCTAGAGCACGGTTTTTGGCAAGAGGGAGATCACCAAAAAGCACGATTTTTGGCACGAGGGACAACAACAAAAAGCACGATTTTGTGCACGAAGGAGAGCACCAAAAAACACGATCTATAGCACGATGTTTGGACAAAGGAGAGAAATGCACGAAGGAGAGCACCAAAAAGCACGATTTTGGGCACTAAGGAGAGCACCAAAAAGCACGATCTAGAGCACGGTTTTTGGCACGAGGGAGAGCACCAAAAAGCATGATTTTGTGCACGAGGGAGAGCACCAAAAAGCACGATCTAGAGCACGATTTTTTGCACGAGGGAAAGCACCGAAAAGATCCGAAAAGCACGATTTTGTGCACGAAGGAAAACACTCAAAACAACGTTCGCCCAAAATATAAAGAAATCCTTTTTTTGACTGTTACAGCTATTAGGACGGACTCAAGATTTGATCCTGTTTCACCACTGCCGCAATCTTCTCTTGGTGAAATGGTGAGTGGGGACATGTGGGGACCATGATGAGTGACTAGGACTGCAGCCATAGTCCTTCGCTTGCTGACAAGGCAGAAACCTTAAGGAAGGCCACAGTATTGCCCCACTTCATGATGGCTTGTGAACACGTCCACGTCACCAGTAACCACATCTCCATCTGATAGTCCTATCTGCCAAACGATTGGCAAAATGTTCTCTGTTCAAGCTCTTCAGATATCGCAAATGTAGCAATGGGGACAATACTTTAACGGTCGTTCAAAGGACCTTTTAGATTTTAGATCGTCCAATCCAATTCAACATGCACATATCTTATCGGGCGATTCTTTTCCCTTCCAGCACGCAGATCTGTACAGTGCACACGGACGAGGCTTCAACAGCTCTGCACAGGCGCACGACATCCGGCACGTGGAGAGAGATGATCTATGACCGATGGTCCAAGCTCTCAATCGCCAGTGAATCCAATAGATGTCTGATGACTTGGGATTGGAGCTGAAGCAAAGCTGTGGAAGGGATTGAAAAACGGATCACATCGGCGACTGAGAAAAAGAAAGGATCTGGCGGCAATTTAGGTGAACAAGGCTGGCAACAACAATAACTCGCAAGACATGCAAAACAGCATGCGAACAAGAGCACCTTGGCAAATGAAGTGCACAATGCCAGCTCCACCCCAAATCCAAACCTGCTCGGGGATGAGATCAGACATTCAGCCTATGGTGGGCGGGAGAAGCTGCACCAACACATAGGCTGCCATCCAATTCCTGCCTGATTCGTACAAAAATGCAGCGAAACTGTCCAACAATGCTAAAGTGACTCTCGTAGCCTTGCACCGCCAACTTTCTCGGCGGAAGCAGGCAACCAACTCAAGGGCTCATCTCTCATCATTAGCACCTCAGCATTGGCTGCTTCAGAATATCCCTGGTTCCGCTGAAAGTATCTTGAGATCCCTCCAAAGCCAAAGCAAAACAAAAAAAACATTCCAAACGGAACCAAACCCTGCCAAGACACCAGGCCACTGACCTGTCGAGGATTCACCTTAGCAGTACAACCCGATGTAACTCTTAAGTCTTCAGAAAGAGCTGAACCTCAGAGTAAAAAGGTCCACGTCGGTCCTTTGAGAAACTGAGTTCGTCTGGTAATGCTGCGAACATCAGCTGTTGCTTTTGTGGTTCAAAGGTCATTCTTTATATATATAATTGTATATATACTTTGAAAATCTTTGAAATTGACATTGGCTTTCCAGGCTTGTCAGGTATGCAAACATTATGCAGCCACAACACTGGCAGCAGAGTCACGCCACTCCTCCGGCAGCTCTATCCTTAGCCAAGAAATGGCGATTACTGCAGCAAATTTCTAAAATGATCCAAACTGGCCATGTTCAGAGGGGACATGATGATAAAACCGTGTGAGTAACACGTGGGATTTGGTTAAATTTGTTGTTGGTCTAAAATTTTAAGACAACCCCAAATAGGCGGCAGCACATCATCCAGAGAAACCATATGACTTCCTGCACCTCGAAAATCCTCAATATTCGACATCTGTTTTCACAGATCCTCTCGCTGGTTGCATCCCAGTTGCTCGAAGTTTTCCGCGACACGCCTCATATTTCAGTGCACGCGTGTCAAAAATGCTGCAAATTTTCTGCCAACGTTTCAATGTGTAAACAATTCATTGGACTCAACAAAGCCTTGATACCAGATATGCATCAGATATGCCAGACCCACCATGTCATCCATGTCCGAGGCTAGTTTGAGCGCCTTCCAAAGGCAGAGCTCACCAATTCCAGCAGCTCAGCTTCCAAGCGAGCTTTGACTATGAGATCCCAATTGGGCAACTGCCCAAGTTGCTCCTGGCCACAACCGCCGCGGCGATTCGACAGCGGAACAGTTCGGATCAGTTAGGCTGGTTCCACCATTGGCTGAGCTTTGATCAACCGTTCCGATCAGGATGAAATTGAAGATGTGTCAAAACAACTTTCTGAAAAGTGAGTTACTTCAATAATATGTTGATACCGGTGCACCAACCAGAGTGTCTAATGACCAGGCTGCCTCTAAGATGCCCCGGCAAAATGCTGCTGGCCAAGGCTCTACTACAAAGCTTCCATAGCGACCAGTCGCAACTTTCACCAAGCTGTTCTCCCCATGACCATGCAGCAATGCCTGAGGCAGTGCATGGTCAAAGCAGTCCACGGGGTTCGTCCACCCATGCAACATGTTTCAAGCCACCATGGTCACCATGGTGCTGGTTCAACCCCCCATCCTGATGGAACCCCCACCATCCCGGCCTGGACAATCATGGCCTGTCCTCGCTCATCAGAATAGGTCAAAGCTCTTTGCACCACGTGGCTGGCAGTGCGATGGGTAGCCATGGAAGGCACCTGCGCTACATGGCTTGTTACTTTAGAAGAGACACGGACCAGAAGTTGCATATGGAATCAGCATGGAAAGTTGTGAAACCATGGTATGCAGGAATCCAGGTTGTAGAAGTTGGGTGAATCTTCATTCATTTGTCATGTCCTTCAGTCAGTGATCAACTCCCTTCCGCTACCTGGCCCAGGATCTTGCTCAGAATCTTGTCTCGTTGATTGGGAGCATGTTCATAGAGGTGCTGAACCACAAAGTTCCCGTACTGATGCTTGCCTCAACATGCAACCATGGCAGAACTGCATGAGCTGGAAATCACCTTTGAAACCATGAAATCCTGAAAGAAGACACATGTCGTTGAAGCTCAAACTGCGCAATAGTTGAGACAAGTCTGTCAGTTACAACCTTCACAACCTTCCATTACTGATAGGTCACTGAAAAAAATCTGCCCAGATGCTGAGGACATCTGCCTTAGATTTGAACAGATTCAAGCAGAGCGGAACCAGCAACTTCAAACCAAGTCCAACATGTCCAATGTGCTGGGGACAAAGCATTCGACACCTAAATCATTATTTTAAAATATCTGTATATTATATATAATATAAGATAGTGTTTTAAAGAAACCCTGCCAACCATAAACAATTGCCTCAAAACAAATTTCGAAAATGTTGATATTTCTTGATCTATCAAGCAGCTTTCGGAATGATTTCCTCTGCAATCACTGCCGTCTGGCTGGGCTCCAAGTGTTCAATGAGGCGCTCCATGAGTCGACAGCCGAATTTGTGTTTGGAGACCTCCTCGAAGCTCCTTTCCTGTTGTTCCACGTCAAGCTATTAATCATGAAACTTAAACCCATTAATCGGAAACAAAAACGCATGAATCGGAAACCAAAACCCGTTAATCGGAAACTAAAACCTGTTAATCGGAAACCAAAAGAATCGGAAACCAAAACCCGTGAATCGAAAACTAAGAACCTTGAATCGTAAACCAAAACCCCGGAGTCGGCAACCACAGCTGAATCGTAAACTAAAGCAGGTGAATCGGAAACTAAAGCAGGTGAATCGGAAACAAAAACCCGTGAATCGGAAACTAAACCAGCTGAATCAATCAGAATGGGCAACTTGTCTCCTGCAATCGCAAAGAGAAGTTGGAGATAATATTATGTTCAAAATAATGGCCAGAGGGGGTGGAGGAATTGATTTCTTATGAAGACAAGTTGAAGGTAATACCTCATTCAAAATAATGGTCAGAGGGGGTGCCGGATTTGATTTCTTATGAAGATAAGTTGAAGGTAATATCTCATTCAACATAATGGCCAGAGGGGGTGGCGGATTTTGATACCTGACAAAGAGAAGTTGAAGGCAATATCCTATTCAACATAGTGGCCAGAGGGGGCGGCGGTGGCGGATGTGATTTCTTCTGAAGACAAGTTGAAGGTAATATCTTATTCAACAAAGTGGCCAGAGGGGGTGGCGGATTTGATTTCTTGTGAAGATAAGTTGAAGGCAATATCCCATTCAGCAAAGTGTTCAGAGGGGGTGGGGGGTTTTGATACCTTTCAAAAAGAAGTTGAAGGTAGTATTCATTAAACATAATGGCCAGAAGGGGTGGCAGATTTGATTTCTTATGAAAATAAGTTGAAAGTAATATCTAATTCAAAATAATGGTCAGAGGCGCTGGCGGATTTGGTCCCGTATGATGATATTTGAAGGTAATATCTCATTCAACATAATTGTCAGAGGGGGTGCCGGATTTGATTAGATCCCTTATGAGGATACTTTGAAGGTAATATCTCATTCAACAAAATGGTCAGAGGGGGTGCCGGATTTGATCCCATATGTGGATACGTTGAAGGTAATACTCATTCAACATAATGGCCAGACGGGGTGGCGGATTTGATGTCTTATGAAGAATATCCCATTCAGCATAGTGATCAGAGGGGTTGGCGGATTTGGTCCAGTATGGGGATATGTTGAAGGCAATATCTCATTCAACATAATGGCGAGAGGGGGTGGCGGATTTTATCCCTCACGAGGAAAAAATAAATAAATGCAATATCCTTTTCAACATTGTGTTCAGAGGGGGTGGCGGGTTTGATCCCTTATGAGGATAAGTTGGCGGTAATATCTCATTCAACAAAATGTTCAGAGGGGGTGGCAGATTTGGTGTCTGATTCGCTTTCTTTGGTTTCTGATTAGTGGGCTTGTTTGGTTTCTGATTCGCGGATCTTGGTGTCTGATTCGCAATTTTTAGTTTCTGATTCTCAGTTTCTGATTCGCAGGGTTTTGTATCTGATTCCTGTATTTTAGTTTCTGATTCGCGCGGTTTTTGGTTTCTGATTCGTGGGATTTTGGTTTCTGATTCGCGGATTTTAGTTTCTGATTCGCGGGTTTTAGTTTCTGATTCTTTGTTGCTGATTCGAGGGAAGTTTCTGATTCGAGGTTTGTTCGTTGTTCCAGTCATAGTCCCACCATGTCACCATCATCACAGTCTTTTGTCCGGTGGGAACAATCAGGCGATAACATGGGTTGATTTGAAGTATCCATCCAAAAAAAGCTTCCCCACTAACTTCATTGCACCCCCAGCTCCTGAAGCGTCTCCACTATTTTGGACATCCACTTGGCTGGAAGCACCATCACGGCCTGACAAATTTCTGTATCATTCAATCTCCAAGATCCAAATGATCCAAATGATCCAAATGATCCAAATGATCCAAATGATCCAAATGATCCGCATCGTGGCAGCGCCTTGCAGAGGCACCAATTCCCATGTGGAGATTCATAGAGCTCTATAGCCTTCGGTGCCAATTCATCCAACAGCAGACCTCAGATGGTGAAATTGGCTCAAGGATCCAAGAGACTGGTGGTTCAAAGTTTGATCTTCAATTTATTTCAATGATGTTTGACCAGGAAACTACGACTGCATGCCTTCATCCTGAATGAAGAATTGATCTGCCGAGCTGCTGCACGAAAGGGGCCCTGCAACGTCAAAGGCTTTCTGCACAATCACTGTGCCACCTTTCGAAAGGGCCAAGGGCACAGCAGCTTCCAACCTTGGGATGGACCACATGGCGAACGTGGCGAACGTGGCGACTGTTGACCCTCTTTGGTGTAGCGACTAGAGAAAGGGTGGAGGAAACCTTCAGAGATAATAATTCGAAGGAGAGATCTGCCAGACATCAAAGTGACTGACTAACAGTGATTAAATTCATACCAAATGTATAAAATTGTATAAAGATAAATGATCTCTGATCATGATGTATTTCTGTGCACTTACAGACCTTAAGTCAAGCAAGGAGAAAGCGGTTTCATGATGTTTCACGGTTTCTGGGCTCGCCCACACCCATCCAATGGTTTCATCCCTGGAGCCAGGGCCGATGGGCCGATGACTGTAACAACCACGGTCCATACATGTCCATACAATACGAACCACACGCCTAGCTTGGTCGCAAGTACAGAGCTGTGAGTCATGCAAAGAACAAATCAGAGCAGAAACATGCAAAAACGGTTTGGCATGGTTTGGCACATTTCATATACTTCATCCCAAATCCAGCCTTGTTTCTTTGGAATCTAACCTGGCCATGATAGCTGCGCAATCCTCCTGGAGACAATACAGCGAACAGAGAAACGGCAATACAGCAATGGATGGTTGCCAAATCTCCTCGGAGGAGGCCATCTTAAGCATCTCCAGGGTTGCCTCACCAGCATTACCCGCCAGGAATTTTAGGATTTAGATGAGTGATGATGAGTGAAAACATCTGAAAACATGTGAACAGTTTTTCTGCTCGGGGCCGAGAGGGGTATCTTACAAACTGGGAACCGAAAGCCAGTTTCAGATTTCCAGTGCCTCAGAATGGTCTGGAGATCCAAACTCATCTTGAAGTCCCACCTGATCGGATCTGGACTCCGTTGCCCGAGTTTGTCGAGGATAGTTACGGCAGCCCCAAATGGTGTGCCTTACCTGAACTGAACAGCTTAGTCAGATTATGTCAGATTCCCACTCCCAGAGCCTGGCATACCCCCCACCTTCGCAGGGGAAGCAGATGGCGTGGTCACATCGGTGAAGCTTCCCACAGACTGAGCATTGCTGACACAGCGCGAAGCAATTGCAGAATAGTTTCCCAAGTGTGCAGGGTTACCTCTGCGGTTCTAAGGCTTTCCAGATAAAACAATAAGACGATTGAAAGCTCGGTTTGGCAATGTAAAGAGGTGTGAAAGTCCAGCAGCTGGACTTTGTATACTCTGCATGCCAGCAAAGTATTTATTTGTACCGTTATATCAATATATATATATACATATACATATACAGTGTATACATATATACACATAAATTTGTAGGCACATGCATATAATCTGCAAATTTTACTTTAAATTCAAAACGGTTTCCTCGTCTTAAATCTACTTTTCCCCTCTGATTAAATCTTCAGTCCTCGCCTCGTTACATTCAAAACGGATTTCAGCCCTCGTCCCATTTCTTTCTCGACCACAAGCCATTCGAACTAGTCCTCTGCCTCCTTTTGGGTTGAACTTTGATGAATTATCGTTGTCGTCGTTGCAGCAACGCTCTGGGCTCCAGAGGCTTGGGGATGCTGAAAAAACTTTTCAGGGCCTAAAAAGTTTTTTCCTGTTTCCGAGATGCCTCTTTTACAAGCGGATTTGCAGGGGCTCGATTCCCCCCAAATTCGACCCCAGAGAAGAGAAGCTGCAGCAGCAGCACCAAGATACCCCGCTACACCTCAAGTTTTAGCAATTTTAGAATCTAGTCGCGCTACCTGGGAAAGGTGAATAAGAACTATTGACCAAAATTTCAGGGTTCCCTAGGGTTCTTATTTCAATTAGCTGGTAGACAGAGTTGGATCCAGCAATCCAGCCCCTGAGGTTCTTAATGCAGTGGGTTCTTAAACAGTGGTTTCACTGTAGAACAATACGGAAGTCCTGGAACAACTGGGCATGCCACCACAGGGCACTGACTGAAATTATGATTAAAAAAAACTTTTCGGGCTCCAGAAAGTTTTTTTCACGGGGTCTGAATGTCCATTTTCTATGTTTTTCACTCTGATGGGAACAAAAAAAACCTTTCTGGAGCCCGAAAAGTTTTTTTCACTCGTTACACATGCTTTGAAAGCAATTTCTGCCCACCTCATTTTCTGAATTTAATTAATTCACCTTGCTTAAATTGCAAAGATTCACCTCGTACCTCGTCAGCCCTCGCTCTAAATTACGCAGATATAATATATATAATTAATAGAATATGATATAATAAAATATAATATAATATAATATAATAAAATCAAAAAAATATATAATATATATAATATATTTTTTAATGTAAAATATATTATAATAAATATATATAATATAATATAATAAAATATAATATAATATATATATAATATATATAATAATGTATTATAATATATTAAAATATAATATCTTATAATATAATATAATATAATATGATATAATATAATATAATATAGTACAATATAATATAAAATATATATTATAATATATATATATTATAATATTTTAAAATATTTAATAATGTATATTAAAATAATAGAATATAATATGCTATTAAATAAAATATATTGTAATATATATATAATATATATTGTAATGTAGTATAATATAATAGAAAATAATAGAATATAACATGATATAAAAATAATATAATATGATATAATATTATATAATATAATATTTAAAAAATATTAAATATATGTTAATAGATATATATATATATATTATATATATTATAATGTATTATCATGTATTATAAGATAATATAATATAATATGATATCATATGATATCATATGATATAATATGATATAATATAGTTTAATATAATATAATATAACATAATGTTAAATATATTTTAAAAGATTTATATAATATATATATATATTATTATGAACTACAATATATATTAATATAATATAATTTAATATGATATAATATAATATGATAAAATAAAATATAACATTTTATAATATAATATAATATAATATATATTTCAAAATAAAATATATTATAATAGATATAATATATATATATAAATGTATAATAATATATTTAATGTATAATAATACATTATAATATAATATAATATAATGTAATATAATATAATCAAATAAAATTTAATTTAATATACATATAATATATATATATATATTAATGTATTATAATTTATAATAATGTATTATAATATAATAGAATATAATAGAATATAATAGAACATAATAGAATATAATATAATATTATATAATAGAATAGAATATAATATAATATAACATAACATAATATAATATAATATAATATATATAATATATTATATATATAATTTATATAATAATTTTATATATATAATATGATATTTAATATCTCAGGATCAAACTTGGATGGTACCCTTGTTCTTGCGGCGGCGGCCACCCCGACGACGGGGACGACGGCTGTCAGTTTCCTGGCGCCAGCACGACATCACCAGCAGCCAGGGGATGTGCGACGAGTGTGTCCTCACAGCCATAGTCGCCCTCATTCCACTCGTTGCGGCTATAGCCTGCTCCATATGGCTGTGGGAAAAAAAAGTGGACATCTATCTGCAGGCTTTGTGGACTTGAGTTCTTACCCAAGAACAAACAACCACGAATTCTGTATACTAGGGTGCCCACGTGCCCTGCCTCTGGATGCGTCATAGCCCTCATCGTATGGCGGATAGGCCCAGTTGTGCGCAGGCTGAATCAGACCGTTGCAGTAGGAGTCTCCTGGCACAGAGGGAGCACTCTGCGAAGGGCCTTGACAAACCCTCCGGCGTGTCTGAAAATAGACCCAAAAAATCTCGTAAGGCTACATCATTTTCCATACTAGCAGATACTAGCATTGCAAATTTGGGTATCCACCCGTTTTGGACAAACTCGCTGTGTAGACGAAAGAACTTTGTTTTTCCATACAATAAGAGGTCAAATCAACTGTAGTTAGGGTGCAGATGTGCCAAGATTTTCACCATGGAATTCATAAGTTGATGGGTTTCCACGGCTGTCCTTGGTTCTGCTTCATGTCGGGGACGGAAACAAACCTGCAGTTTTGCGTGAAGCCCACCTTGCCTCTCAAACATATCAAAATTGCCAGAGTATATATATATATTAGGTAGTGTCACTAGCCGAGAAAAGAATACCCATGTAGTTTCACACATGCCCAGCCAGCACACATACTCTGCATTTTTGACATCTTTTGACTAGTTCCTTCTTTATCTTCTTTCTTCCCAACCTTTCCAGTAAACATTCCAAGGAGACATGACATGATGTTCCATGATGCAATGACGCTCCATGATGTTCCAATCCATGTCAAGCAGCTGAAGGCTGCCACTCATTGTGACGTAGGAAACAGCTGCGAGTTGTTCCATTGGCTTCACTGGTTTTTTGTCCAAACCCCCTCCCGCAGGCATTGCCTTGAGCAATTCAAGTCGCCGGAGAGAGTGACTAGCAAAACAAGGGCCCGAAACATCCAATAACAAGCCTTGGAATAAGGAAGCTGCAACCAAAGTGGCAGACATTTTCGCAGAAATCCCCAGCCAACCCCTTTGCTTGCAATACGGTCAGAAACTCTGCCAGACTCAAATTTTCCATAACCCTGATTAACAAATATTAACCACAGCTTTAGTTTGCGAATCTCTTCCATTTGCATCCATTTCTCGTATCATGGCAATGCTCATTCAATGGTGGGGGGTAATGCGAACTAATTCGTAACTAATTGGATCGAGTTGTAATTGGATCTAGTTGGCAGGTCGGCCCCCAAGAGTGCTTGAAATGCCGCTGCGCGGCAAGGAAAATGTAGATTGCCGGTACTGTTCAGACCATTTGTTCTAACCATCCCCAGCAAGTCACAAAATGCTGACAAAAAGCTCCGATCGCTTGTTGAAAATTGTTGAAAGACTTGCTAGTTGACACTGGCTCCACACGCTCAACTTGAACCGATTGAACCAAAGGCCGTCCTGGAAGCGAATGCACAGCACAGCAATTTTCCGCCAGTTCCCATAACACCTGGGCTGAGGTGCACTGCGCACAGCAAAGAATCCTGGATGTCCTGGATTTGAACAGCTGTAAGTACTGTAAATTTAGAAAGCCCAAGTCTCTGCAACAGCATGGTTCTGACCTGAACTTTCAGCTTCTACTTGAGGATATCCGCCGACCCCGGCCTTAGCCAAGGCAGGGGCGGCGCCTGGGACCACCGCAGGTGTGGAACTTGTCTTTCTTAGCAACAGGCACCCCAAGGCCACATCAATGGCTTCTTATGGGCGTCCAAGCCTGCCGTGTGCCAGGCCTTAAACGCTTAAAAGGCTTCAAACCGTTACACGCCTAAAACCCCTAGAACTCTCTTCAAACCGTTAAAACTTGCAAAAGCGTTTCGGAACGCCCAACCGCGCAGGCACAAGCTATCCCAAGGCCAGATCCATCGCTTGTTCTGGGACGTCCAGCCTGCCTTCCGTGGGCCTTTTTAGCGCTTTGCCACTGCTTTCCCAGCGCCGGGCCATGTCGCCACAGTCCATTTAGAGGGTTTCAAAACCACTGCGAAGCACGGTCCACCAGGACACGAAACCCTTCCGTGGGCCTCTTTTTAGCGCTTTGCCATTGCTTTCCCAGCGCCGGGCCATGTCGCCATAGTCCATTTAGGTCCACCAGGACACGATCACGAAACCCTTCAGTGGGCCTTTAGCGCTTTGCCACTGCTTTCCCCGCGCCTGGCCATGTTGCCACGAACCAAAAGCTGCATTGCCATTGCCGGATTGCAGGCTGAAGAGATCGACGAAATTTGACGAACATTTGTAGATAACGATTTTTGTTTACCCCGCTTAAGACATGGTGATTTGCTATGGCAAGTAAGCCACTATGGACAGTAGGTGTGCTTAGTGAATGTTAAAAACGAAAGTTCTATATAGTCACAGTAAATGTTTGAAACTCTAGTTCTAGTCATAGTAAGACTTGGCAACCAAATGAACAACCAGGAACCGGTTCAAAAAGGAGGACTCGTTCCCCAATGCTATATATATATATATGTATATATGTGATCTGTGTAAGGTTGCTATTATTAATGGGTATCTATGGATAAACACATGTCATTTTTGTTTAGCATTAAACAAACCATGTATATAAATATATAGTTACGTAGTTATATATGGTGGGCGACAATCTCGACCCATCCTCCATATGGAACATAACTCATTTATATTGGATCATAGTTCATTTCTATGGGGGATGTAGGGCGGTTTGTTGGACCCCATACATTCCCATGCCATGAATATTGTTGGTACGTATGTCTTATGTTGACAAACAATTACCCAGTAAATGTTGGCAAAATCTGGCTAACACATAACTTATCTACATGGATTTACATGGACGGGTTTGAAGCTCCAGTTGTACCTGGACTGAAGCCACTTGCCCCACTGATAACCAGAGATATAACCTACTTAGTACTTCGGCTAAGCCTCAAAAAGGGGGGCGGCGGCACCTGGGCGTTAGCCCATTTATTTAAGCCTGCCTCACAGTTTGCACTTTTTCCTCGCTGCAGAAGCATCTTTGGCTCGCGAAGATCTTCGCCTCACAAGTTCCAAGGCATTGGGCGTACAGGCTGTACAGGTGTTTCTCTGGGGCCCATCTAAGCTGATCAAATTTCATTGCAGTCCTCTACCTATCACATAAAGGCTGGCTTCAGTATCAGCAAGCAGAACTGGAAGAAACAAAACCAACAAAACCCAGTATTCCCAGTGGATAAGTAAACGGCCATCATAACTACCTATTGGCAATTATATGCAACTATCATCCTTATTAGATCTGATTAGATTGTTCTTCCCATAGCGACAATAGTCCCATGTACTATCTACTGTAGTACGATGTTGCAAAAGACCCTACAACTTGGACTCGTGGTGTTCTGCTGCAATGTCAAGGTCGATTATGGTCGATTCTGATCCCTTTCATCAGCATTCCGACAGATGTTTGGTCCACCAACCTACATGAGGGGAAAGAAACCAATTGGGTTTCTGATCCAGATCCAACGTTCGCAGTTAGCAAATAATAATAGAAAGGAAAGCTTGATCCGAGGGCGCGAGTCAGAAACAAGTCTGTCAAAGCAGAAACACCAGCAAATCCACCATGCCCCGCAACCAGTGCATCTTCATCCGAGTTCATCCTACATCCTCTCAGTTTGTCTGATGCCTCCTCCGCTTCTTTCCAACAGTCGGCGCTTCAGCCTTTTGTGAAGCCTCGCAGAGCTCCAACCAATGGAGATATGTTAGATTATGTTAGAAACAAGTCGGTCAAGTCGGCAATCCCTCAAGTCCCTTTGGTGACTGGTTGTAGAAACACCCACCACATCAAACATCATCAATCATCATCAATCATCATCAATCATCATCAATCATCATCAATCATCATCAATCATATCAATCATCCATCCACATCACCTGCCCTCACTTGAAGCTTTTTGGAACACGCGGCATCACGCAGCATCACGCAGCATCGCGCAGCATCGCGCAGCATCACGCAGCATTGAAACTCGCACACTTTGGAACGCTGTGAAGTAAGGGAACGATTGAGGGTTCCGGTTGGAAAATTGAATCAAACTTACCTCTGAAAACAAAAACGGCAACGCCATATGACCAACACACACCAACACCATATGACTGGCCCGGAATCGGAAAGGCATGGCAGCCATCACGGATCTGCCATGATTGGTTCGTCGATTCGTCGATCTCCTAGTCCAATCACTTCGGCCATGAGTTCCGGCCCGCGAAAGCCAGCATGCCTTGCACAACCCGGCAGTTTTGCATAGATTTCTGGAACGCAGGGGATGTTTCACCAACGTTTCACCAACGTTTCACCACTAAAAACATCTAAAAACGCCTCAAAATGTGTTTAAAGTTTAAAGTTAAGGATTAGGATGGATTGAGGATACGACTGATGCAATTGATTGTTGTTGCTCATCATTGGTCTGATGGATGTAACATGATGTAACTACATGTAACATCATGTAACCGTCATGTAACAGTCATGTAACTGATGTAAGCAGGAATCATGGGCGGAAACTGATCACAACTTAAAAGATCCATGCACCAGTCATGCCGGCCATGCCGTCGCCGCCACTCCCGTTGGCGCAACAGGGTTAGTTGCTGACGAGTCTCCAAGTCCCATTCCCATCAGACAACGTCCCCCAGATTCCAGGAGAGTCGCAACACCATTGATGACCTGCACAAATCTGTACGATGAGATGATGATGCAAGCGGCGGCACCCTACAGATGTCCCGGAATGCCCCGGAATGTCCCTGAATCCCTGGAGCTTCAACTGCAAAGACACAAAAAACATCAAAAAACCTCAAGAAAAAAATCTGATGAAACCATTCACATACCATTCACATTCCATTCGCATGCCATTCACACCAGACCAAAATCATCCTTCGTGGAATGACCTGCATATTTGCTGAAATCTAGATGAGCCAAATTGAACCAAAGCGCTCCAAAGGTAATGGCTTCAATGAGGAAGGTGAGATTCATTACCTCATTCCAACATTTCTGAAGATATAGACCGCTATGTATATATATATATATGTGTGTGTATAATATATATATATACACACTTAATTATATCATATCATATATATACAGTATTTTACAGTCATTGTCCACCACCTTGAGCGTAGAAACACACCACCTAATGCATCCTGATGCTTGGCCATGGTCATCCTATGTCATCCTGGAAAGCCAAGTGGGTATTGCTCAAAATTACACCATCATCTTGTTGGTAAAAGCCATGACTTGCTTTTCTGGGCTATATGATGCTCTATGATGCTCTGTGCACAACATGCACAATCTGTTGAGGCAGTGTCAAGTTGCACCCTTCGCAAACCCTCTCTGATACGCCACATCTGCCACTTTTGAGGTCTGAACCACTGGTCTTGTCCACAAGACATTGTATAGCTCTGAGCGGCAGGTGGCCTGCGGACATTCCGCAGGTTCGGAATTTGAAGCCTCACATTCAAATTCCAAGCAAAGCCTATATTCAAAGCCTCTAGAGGCATAACATGGCATAACATGGCATAACATGGCATAACATGGCATAACATGGAATAACATGGCATAACAATGTTGGAATGCTCACATGTTTCTATACAAAGAGTGGATCAAATGTTTCAATGTCCCCGGGGTCCGGTCAGCCTGGCAAGCTGCACTGCGGAATGGTCCTTGAAGACGGAAAATAGGCACGTGCGCTTGGCCTAGGGTCGGATGCCATCGGTTCTCGGATCGTCTCAAGGTCCTATCAACCTCTCCCACGGTTGCGTTGCAGCAACCTTGAGTGGTTCACCTGAGTTGACCTGGGAGACTTCACCGAAGTAAACTGATAAAAGCAAAACAAAAAGATACAAAAAGCATGCAACCAGGCTCAACCAGATGGCCAAAGGCACAGGTCAGCATGACTCGCCAGTCGCGCCAGAGCCATTGTCGAAGAGATGGTGCTGCTCCCATCTCCTTTGCCAAAGCAAACATGTAGTATCCTCAGCTGCCCGTCACAACAGCTGGAAAGGAATCGACTTGAAACTGAGTCTGGGGCCATAGTCCACACCTCAGATTTGCATAGTTTTTGTCTGTGCAGATGTGCAGATCTGTGCAGGTAGTATATGATGTTAGGCTCTGGTGCAAAAGTGTCCAGCAACTTCGTCCAAGCAGCGGCGCTAGAGTCCTGGGCTCCTGGCCATAACAGAGCCTGGAATCGGTGAGTCTATAGCAGGAGTTGTCCAGAGGATGTCCCTCCTGGCGCAAGATGACATGGCGTCGGAAAATGAAGGACACCGTGGGATACCCAAAAATTATTGACAATAAGAGCAGATTTTGGGGACCCAAAACATCCCAAAACATCCCGAAACATCCCAAAACCCAATTTTTTGCCAAAGACAAATGGGACCATGCGGTTCCCAAGCTGTCCTTGACCTTATCTTCCAGCAGGCGACACCACCACATTGCTTGCATCTCTGCCATGGGTGGAATCGCACCTGCAGAGGATGAAAACCCAATGAACTTGCGCGGTGAGGATTGATGGAGATGAAATTCACTGAAAACATCTGAAAACACTTGGGCAAGGAGACTGTGTCAAAGTTCCAAAATCATGCTCGAGATCAGCAAATTTCTGGCAATGCATGGACATCATGGACTTTTTTTTTGTTCAAGCTTCAAACTGCGTCGACCACGTGGCTGGCTCCGGTGTTCGGATTCCAGCCTGTGACGCCGGGAACATTATCTTCGGGGCAGGGGCTCGGGCACTTCTCCGGAGCATCGGACATGCGCTCATAGGTGGCAGGGCTGACTTGGAACCAAGGAATGCTGATCTCTGGGCATAGTTCGTCATCCTCGGCCTGCCACGGATTGGGAGCAGTGGCCAGGCCCTGCTCCAGAATCTCTTCGTTCACGTCTAAATCCATCGAGGCCATGGACTCTGGGGCCCCCTGTTGCAACCAGTCTTTGAATGTTTTAAAACTGAATTTAGCACCTTTCATAGAGCTGGATCGTTTCTTCATGTTCAGGCCCCTGGCCAGATTGTGAAGCTGTTGCTCCAGCATGGAGGTTAGGGCAACTGTGTGTGGGGCAATGACGATGGCCATTCCCAAGGGCACCATGGGGATGATGCCAAACACGGCAGCAAGGACTACGTAAGCCATACACAGAATTGCCAGCAGTAGCTGCAGCACCACCTGGACCCTTTCCACACGCCGCATTTGAGACTTTAGGGCCTGGCAGCAGACGATTCCGATCACCAGCACAGCAGCGGCGAACACCAGCCCCGCAAGTACTTTCTCAATCGTGGTGTGGATGGAGAGACGGTGATGGTATTCTGTTCCCAGAATACCATCAATCGCGGAAATGCTCAGCAACAGCCATCCCAGCATTGCCAGGCATGTTAGGAAACAAATGAAGGAGCGATGATTGCGCGCTCCAACCTTGGTGGTTTGTTGATTCCCTGGTAAAAGTCTTTTCTACTAGTGGGTTCATGTGGCTTATGCATGCCTATGTATGCTTATGACTGCTTATGTGGTAAATCCATCTGACCCCCAAAACATCCGAAAACACGAAGAGTCTAAATGAATCTATGGCTATCCAGCAACACAGTTTCCAATCCAATAGCAGTGGTGGTCGAAATCGCGCACGCAGTTGTCGCAAACTTTGCAGTGCGAGGTCCCCGGCAAACGCCTGACCTGGCAGGTTGTGCAATTCTTCAAGTGTTGGATGCGCTCATCCTCCATGAGTGAGCACCAGAACCAGTCAATCCTGTTCATCTGGAACTCATCGGCCTCATCGTCCTCGTCAAAGTACGGCATCTGGTCGATTTTCTTGTTCATCTCGTCTGCAAAATTCGACTGCACCCTTTTTCGCTCTTCGGATTCCGCAGGGCGCCAAGGCTCCAAAGGGCGCCCAGGCGGCCTGCTCACAGATGCGTACATGTCGCATAACTTCAGCACTGTCTTCCGGCCATCCTTGGATACTGTGAGGGCGGGAAGCATAGATTGCCTCACCTGTACCCCCGGCTCTGTTGCCATGGCCTGAAGAAATCCAAAGATCACTCCAACCAGCAGCAGTCCGGCTGTCACCACAACAAGAATTTTCCAGAAGGCCGAGAGCCGTGGCAGTTCTGCCCAGGCACCAGGAAGGAGCCAAAGCAACAGAAGCGGTTGTGCCCTGGCCATCCCTCCCAAAGCTTCATGTTGGACTTGTTCCAAGATCCTCCAAGAACAAACGGAAGGTTTCCGCAGGTTGCAGGGGAAGACTGTCAGCCGATCAGCTTGAGCCAAATGCCATTTTGATTCATTTTTCACATGGAGTATGGGTCACATTTTGAGGCAAAGGCCATTGATTTTAGCATAATCTTAGCCATGTTTCACTTTGACACACATCCATGTATCTTTGGTACTCATATTGTTTGAAATGTCAGCCAATTTCCAGCCAACTGATGCGGGCGGCGCCTACGTTTGGCCGGATGAAGCCTCAGCTGAAGGTCTATCAGGACAGCAAGAGGTGTTGCAGGACTACAGGACTGTGAAATACCGTGAAAATGTCAATAAGGCATGTGAATCGTATGAATATTTTGAATGCAAGAATCTGCAAGAAGAACAAGATACCAAAAAAAGATGTCGTTGACCAGCAACAGCTAGGGGATGTGCGACGAGTGTGTCCTCATCACAGCCATAGTCGCCCTCATTCCACTCGTTGCGGCTATAGCCTGCTCCACATGGCTGTGGGAAAAAAAAAATGGAAATCTATCTGCAGGCTTTGTGGACTTGAGTTCTTACCCAAGAACAAACAACCACGAATTCTGTATACTAGGGTGCCCACGGGCCCTGCCTCTGGATGCGTCATAGCCCTCATCGTATGGCGGATAGGCCCAGTTGTGCACAGGCTGAATCAGACCGTTGCAGTAGGTGTCTCCTGGGACAGAGGGAGCACTTTGCGAAGAGCCTTTACAGAACCTCCGGATTGTCTGAAAATAGACCCAAAAAATCCCGTAAGGTTTCATCATTTTCCATTCTAGCAGATACTAGCATTGCAAATTTGGGGTATTCACCCCTTATGGACAAACTCGCTGTGTAGACGAAAGAACTTTGTTTTTCCATACAATAAGAGGTCAAATCAACTGTAGTTAGGGTGCAGATGTGCCGAGATTTTCACCGTGGAATTCCTAAGTTGATGGGTTTCCACGGCTGTCCTTGGTTCTGCTTCATGTCGGGGACGGAAACAAACCTGCAGTTTTGCGTGAAGCCCACCTTGCCTCTCAAATATAACAAAATTGCCAAAGTATATATATATATATTTATACATATATATATATATAGGTAGTGTCACTAGCCGAGAAAAGAATACCCATGTACTTTCACACATACCCAGCCAGCACACATACTCTGCATTTTTGACATCTTTTGACTAGCTCCTTCTTTATCTTCTTTCTTCCCAACCTTTCCAGTAAACATTCCAAGGAGACATGATGACATGATGTTCCATGATGTTCCAATCCATGTCAAGCAGCTGAAGGCTGCCACTCATTGTGACGTAGGAAACAGCTGCGAGTTGTTCCATTGGCTTCACTGGTTTTTGTACTACATGAGGAAATTGTAAGCAGAACTACCTTCTGTATCTCTCCATAACCCCACGTGCCACATTGGCCGCGGGAACGCCGACAGCGGTACACGAGGCTAAGCCGAGGTTTCCGGGAATCACAGAGAAGCAAGCAAGAACTTCAGCAAAACGGTTCACATGGCGACTTACACTAGACTTTACACTCTACGCTTTACACTCCACACCGCACACTCTACACTTTACACACTCCACTTTACACTTTACACTCTTCCCTCTACACACCATACTTTATACGCTACACGTTACACTCCTCACTCCTTACTGCACACTTTACACTCCACACTCCATACTTTACACTCCACACTCTACACTTCACACTCTACACTTCACACTCTACACTTTACACTCTACACTCTACACTCTACGCTTTACACACTACACTTTACACTCTACACTCCACACTCTACACTTGAAACTTTACACTTGACACTCTACACTCCCACACCTTACACCCTTCACCCTGCGGGCTCCTTTGCTTCCCAACAGCTACCTAAAAGAGCCTCACTCCACATTGCCTGCCCACGCCCCAAAGAGCCCGCCCAAGCCACGCTCTTGTCCCTCCAACCTTCCCCCCATCGTACACCCCGCCCCAGCCATCATGTTTCCATACGTCATTTCCAAGCACTCCACATAAGTACTACATGAGGAAATTGTAAGCAGAACTACCTTCTGTATCTCTCCATAACCCCACGTGCCACATTGGCTGCGGGAACGCCGACAGCGGTACACGAGGCTAAGTCGAGGTTTCCGGGAATCACAGAGAAGCAAGCAAGAACTTCAGCAAAACGGTTCACATGGCGACTTACACTAGACTTTACACTCTACGCTTTACACTCCACACCGCACACTCTACACTTTACACACTCCACTTTACACTTTACACTCTTCCCTCTACACACCATACTTTATACGTTACACGTTACACTCCTCACTCCTTACTGCACACTTTACACTCCACACTCCATACTTTACACTCCACACTCTACACTTCACACTCTACACTTCACACTCTACACTTTACACTCTACACTCTACACTCTACGCTTTACACACTACACTTTACACTCTACACTTACACTCCACACTCTACACTTGAAACTTTACACTTGACACTCTACACTCCCAGACCTTACACCCTTCAACCTGCGGGCTCCTTTGCTTCCCAACAGCTACCTAAAAGAGCCTCACTCCACATTGCCTGCCCACGCCCCAAAGAGCCCGCCCAAGCCACCCTCTTGTCCCTCCAATCTTCCCCCCATCGTACACCCCGCCCCGAAACTCCAATCCGTCCCCTTTGTTTTTTTCCTTCCATTCCCTCTCTTCTTCCATTACTCTTTCCAAGTTTTTCCATTGTTCTGTTATGCTTTGATTCCATTTTTGCATCCTTTTACCCTCCATTCCACTCACCTCCAAATGCACGTCGGAGGACGGACCAGGGGGGAATCGAACCCCGCCGTCACCCAATTGCCACCTGGTACATCAGCCTCAAAATCGACCACGGTGGCCACCCTAATTAGGTGGGGAAGTGCCTCAAAATCGTCCGTTTGGAGACGACCACCCCCCAGACCCCCTATTCTCACTTCGTTCGCAATGAGCAACTTCGCCATGCTTGACAGCTGGCTTTCGTAAAAAATCTGATGAAACCATTCACATACCATTCACTTTCCATTCACATGCCATTCACACCAGACCAAAATCATCCTTTGTGAAATGACCTGCATACTTGCTGAAATCTGGATGAGCCAATTGAGCCAAAGCGCTCCAAAGGTAATGGCTTCAATGAGGAAGGTGAGATTCATCACCTCATTCCAACATTTCTGAAGATATAGACCGCTATGTATATGTGTATATATATATATACACACACACTTAATTATATCATATCATATATATACAGTATTTTACAGTCATTGTCCACCACCTTGAGCGTAGAAACACACCACCTAATGCATCCTGATGCTTGGCCATGGTCATCCTATGTCATCCTGGAAAGCCAAGTGGGTATTGCTCAAAATTACACCATCATCTTGTTGGTAAAAGCCATAACTTGCTTTTCTGGGCTATATGATGCTCTATGATGCTCTGTGCACAACATGCACAATCTGTTGAGGCAGTGTCAAGTTGCACCCTTCGCAAACCCTCTCTGATACGCCACATCTGTCACTTTTGAGGTCTGAACCACTGGTCTTGTCCACAAGACATTGTATAGCTCTGAGCGGCAGGTGGCCTGCGGACATTCCGCAGGTTCGGAATTTGAAGCCTCACATTCAAATTCCAAGCAAAGCCTATATTCAAAGCCTCTAAAGGCATAACATGGCATAACATGGCATAACAATGTTGGAATGCTCACATGTTTCTATGCAAAGAGTGGATCAAATGTTTCAATGTCCCCGGGGTCCGGTCAGCCTGGCAAGCTGCACTGCGGAATGGTCCTTGAAGACGGAAAATAGGCACGTGCGCTTGGCCTAGGGTCGGATGCCATCGGTTCTCGGATCGTCTCAAGGTCCTATCAACCTCTCCCACGGTTGCGTTGCAGCAACCTTGAGTGGTTCACCTGAGTTGACCTGGGAGACTTCACCGAAGTAAACTGATAAAAGCATAACAAAAAGATACAAAAAGCATGCAACCAGGCTCAACCAGGTGGCCAAAGGCACAGGTCAGCATGACTCGCCAGTCGCGCCAGAGCCAGTGTCGAAGAGATGGTGCTGCTCCCATCTCCTTTGCCAAAGCAAACATGTAGTATCCTCAGCTGCCCGTCACAACAGGTGGAAATGAATCGACTTGAAACTGAGTCTGGGGCCATAGTCCACACCTCAGATTTGCATAGTTTTTGTCTGTGCAGATGTGCAGATCTGTGCAGGTAGTATATGATGTTATGCTTTTCTGGTGCAAAAGTATCCAGCAACTTCGTCCAAGCAGCGGCGCTAGAGTCCTGGGCTCCTGGCCATAACAGAGCCTGGAATCGGTGAGTCTATAGCAGGAGCTGTCCAGAGGATGTCCCTCCTGGCGCAAGATGACATGGCGTCGGAAAATGAAGGACACCGTGGGATACCCAAAAATTATTGACAATAAGAGCAGATTTTGGGGACCCAAAACATCCCAAAACATCCCAAAACCCAATTTTTTGCCAAAGACAAATGGGACCATGCGGTTCCCAAGCTGTCCTTGACCTTATCTTCCAGCAGGCGACACCACCACATTGCTTGCATCTCTGCCATGGGTGGAATCGCACCTGCAGAGGATGAAAACCCAATGAACTTGTGCGGTGAGGATTGATGGAGATGAAATTCACTGAAAACATCTGAAAACACTTGGGCAAGGAGACTGTGTCAAAGTTCCAAAATCATGCTCGAGATCAGCAAATTTCTGGCAATGCGTGGACATCATGGACTTTTTTTTGTTCAAGCTTCAAACTGCGTCGACCATGTGGCTGGCTCCGGTGTTCGGATTCCAGCCTGTGACGCCGGGAACATTATCTTCGGGGCAGGGGCTCGGGCACTTCTCCGGAGCATCGGACATGCGCTCATAGGTGGCAGGGCTGACTTGGAACCAAGGAATGCTGATCTCTGGGCATAGTTCGTCATCCTCGGCCTGCCACGGATTGGGAGCAGTGGCCAGGCCCTGCTCCAGAATCTCTTCGTTCACGTCTAAATCCATCGAGGCCATGGACTCTGGGGCCCCCTGTTGCAACCAGTCTTTGAATGTTTTAAAACTGAATTTAGCACCTTTCATAGAGCTGGATCGTTTCTTCATGTTCAGGCCCCTGGCCAGATTGTGAAGCTGTTGCTCCAGCATGGAGGTTAGGGCAACTGTGGGTGGGGCAATGACGATGGCCATTCCCAAGGGCACCATGGGGATGATGCCAAACACGGCAGCAAGGACTACGTAAGCCATACACAGAATTGCCAGCAGTAGCTGCAGCACCACCTGGACCCTTTCCACACGCCGCATTTGAGACTTTCGGGCCTGGCAGCAGACGATTCCGATCACCAGCACAGCAGCGGCGAACACCAGCCCCGCAAGTACTTTCTCAATCGTGGTGTGGATGGAGAGAAGGTGATGGTATTCTGTTCCCAGAATACCATCAATCGCGGAAATGCTCAGCAACAGCCATCCGTTAGGAAACAAATGAAGGAGCGATGATTGCGCGCTCCAACCTTGGTGGTTTGTTGATTCTCTGGTAAAAGTCTTTTCTACTAGTGGGTTCATGTGGCTTATGCATGCCTATGTATGCTTATGACTGCTTATGTGGTAAATCCATCTGACCCCCAAAACATCCGAAAACACGAAGAGTCTAAATGAATCTATGGCTATCCAGCAACACAGTTTCCAATCCAATAGCAGTGGTGGTCGAAATCGCGCACGCAGTTGTCGCAAACTTTGCAGTGCGAGGTCCCCGGCAAACGCCTGACCTGGCAGGTTGTGCAATTCTTCAAGTGTTGGATGCGCTCATCCTCCATGAGTGAGCACCAGAACCATTCAATCCTGTTCATCTGGAACTGATCGGCCTCATCGTCCTCGTCAAAGTACGGCATCTTGTCGATTTTCTTGTTCATCTCGTCTGCAAAATTCGACTGCACCCTTTTTCGCTCTTCGGATTCCGCAGGGCGCCAAGGCTCCAAAGGGCGCCCAGGCGGCCTGCTCACAGATGCATACATGTCGCATAACTTCAGCACTGTCTTCCGGCCATCCTTGGATACTGTGAGGGCGGGAAGCATAGATTGCCTCACCTGTACCCCCGGCTCTGTTGCCATGGCCTGAAGAAATCCAAAGATCACTCCAACCAGCAGCAGCCCGGCTGTCACCACAACAAGAATTTTCCAGAAGGCCGAGAGCCGTGGCAGTTCTGCCAGGCAAAAAACGATTACAACTGTGAGAATTGTTGGCAGAGTTGCCACGCTAGGGCACAGCTTCCCAGGCACCAGGAAGGAGCCAAAGCAACAGAAGCGGTTGCGCCCTGGCCATCCCTCCCAAAGCTTCATGTTGGACTTGTTCCAAGATCCTCCAAGAACAAACGGAAGGTTTCCGCAGGTTGCAGGGGAAGACTGTCAGCCGATCAGCTTGAGCCAAATGCCATTTTGATTCATTTTTCACATGGAGTATGGGTCACATTTTGAGGCAAAGGCCATTGATTTTAGCATAATCTTAGCCATGTTTTACTTTGACACACATCCATGTATCTTTCGTACTCATATGTTTGAAATGTCAGCCAATTTCCAGCCAACTGATGCGGGCGGCGCCTACGTTTGGCCGGATGAAGCCTCAGCTGAAGGTCTATCAGGACAGCAAGAGGTGTTGCAGGACTACAGGACTGTGAAATACCGTGAAAATGTCAATAAGGCATGTGAATCGTATGAATATTTTGAATGCAAGAATCTGCAAGAAGAACAAGATACCAAAAAAAGATGTCGTTGACCAGCAACAGCTAGGGGATGTGCGACGAGTGTGTCCTCATCACAGCCATAGTCGCCCTCATTCCACTCGTTGCCGCTATAGCCTGCTCCACATGGCTGTGGGCCATAGTCGCCCTCATTCCACTCGTTGCGGCTATAGCCTGCTCCACATGGCTGTGGGAAAAAAAAAATGGAAATCTATCTGCAGGCTTTGTGGACTTGAGTTCTTACCCAAGAACAAACAACCACGAATTCTGTATACTAGGGTGCCCACGGGCCCTGCCTCTGGATGCGTCATAGCCCTCATCGTATGGCGGATAGGCCCAGTTGTGCACAGGCTGAATCAGACCGTTGCAGTAGGTGTCTCCTGGGACAGAGGGAGCACTTTGCGAAGAGCCTTTACAGAACCTCCGGATTGTCTGAAAATAGACCCAAAAAATCCCGTAAGGTTTCATCATTTTCCATTCTAGCAGATACTAGCATTGCAAATTTGGGGTATTCACCCCTTATGGACAAACTCGCTGTGTAGACGAAAGAACTTTGTTTTTCCATACAATAAGAGGTCAAATCAACTGTAGTTAGGGTGCAGATGTGCCGAGATTTTCACCGTGGAATTCCTAAGTTGATGGGTTTCCACGGCTGTCCTTGGTTCTGCTTCATGTCGGGGACGGAAACAAACCTGCAGTTTTGCGTGAAGCCCACCTTGCCTCTCAAATATAACAAAATTGCCAAAGTATATATATATATATTTATACATATATATATATATAGGTAGTGTCACTAGCCGAGAAAAGAATACCCATGTACTTTCACACATACCCAGCCAGCACACATACTCTGCATTTTTGACATCTTTTGACTAGCTCCTTCTTTATCTTCTTTCTTCCCAACCTTTCCAGTAAACATTCCAAGGAGACATGATGACATGATGTTCCATGATGTTCCAATCCATGTCAAGCAGCTGAAGGCTGCCACTCATTGTGACGTAGGAAACAGCTGCGAGTTGTTCCATTGGCTTCACTGGTTTTTGTACTACATGAGGAAATTGTAAGCAGAACTACCTTCTGTATCTCTCCATAACCCCACGTGCCACATTGGCCGCGGGAACGCCGACAGCGGTACACGAGGCTAAGCCGAGGTTTCCGGGAATCACAGAGAAGCAAGCAAGAACTTCAGCAAAACGGTTCACATGGCGACTTACACTAGACTTTACACTCTACGCTTTACACTCCACACCGCACACTCTACACTTTACACACTCCACTTTACACTTTACACTCTTCCCTCTACACACCATACTTTATACGCTACACGTTACACTCCTCACTCCTTACTGCACACTTTACACTCCACACTCCATACTTTACACTCCACACTCTACACTTCACACTCTACACTTCACACTCTACACTTTACACTCTACACTCTACACTCTACGCTTTACACACTACACTTTACACTCTACACTCCACACTCTACACTTGAAACTTTACACTTGACACTCTACACTCCCACACCTTACACCCTTCACCCTGCGGGCTCCTTTGCTTCCCAACAGCTACCTAAAAGAGCCTCACTCCACATTGCCTGCCCACGCCCCAAAGAGCCCGCCCAAGCCACGCTCTTGTCCCTCCAACCTTCCCCCCATCGTACACCCCGCCCCAGCCATCATGTTTCCATACGTCATTTCCAAGCACTCCACATAAGTACTACATGAGGAAATTGTAAGCAGAACTACCTTCTGTATCTCTCCATAACCCCACGTGCCACATTGGCTGCGGGAACGCCGACAGCGGTACACGAGGCTAAGTCGAGGTTTCCGGGAATCACAGAGAAGCAAGCAAGAACTTCAGCAAAACGGTTCACATGGCGACTTACACTAGACTTTACACTCTACGCTTTACACTCCACACCGCACACTCTACACTTTACACACTCCACTTTACACTCTTCCCTCTACACACCATACTTTATACGTTACACGTTACACTCCTCACTCCTTACTGCACACTTTACACTCCACACTCCATACTTTACACTCCACACTCTACACTTCACACTCTACACTTCACACTCTACACTTTACACTCTACACTCTACACTCTACGCTTTACACACTACACTTTACACTCTACACTTACACTCCACACTCTACACTTGAAACTTTACACTTGACACTCTACACTCCCAGACCTTACACCCTTCAACCTGCGGGCTCCTTTGCTTCCCAACAGCTACCTAAAAGAGCCTCACTCCACATTGCCTGCCCACGCCCCAAAGAGCCCGCCCAAGCCACCCTCTTGTCCCTCCAATCTTCCCCCCATCGTACACCCCGCCCCGAAACTCCAATCCGTCCCCTTTGTTTTTTTCCTTCCATTCCCTCTCTTCTTCCATTACTCTTTCCAAGTTTTTCCATTGTTCTGTTATGCTTTGATTCCATTTTTGCATCCTTTTACCCTCCATTCCACTCACCTCCAAATGCACGTCGGAGGACGGACCAGGGGGGAATCGAACCCCGCCGTCACCCAATTGCCACCTGGTACATCAGCCTCAAAATCGACCACGGTGGCCACCCTAATTAGGTGGGGAAGTGCCTCAAAATCGTCCGTTTGGAGACGACCACCCCCCAGACCCCCTATTCTCACTTCGTTCGCAATGAGCAACTTCGCCATGCTTGACAGCTGGCTTTCGTAAAAAATCTGATGAAACCATTCACATACCATTCACATTCCATTCACATGCCATTCACACCAGACCAAAATCATCCTTTGTGAAATGACCTGCATACTTGCTGAAATCTGGATGAGCCAATTGAGCCAAAGCGCTCCAAAGGTAATGGCTTCAATGAGGAAGGTGAGATTCATCACCTCATTCCAACATTTCTGAAGATATAGACCGCTATGTATATGTATATATATACACACACACTTAATTATATCATATCATATATACAGTCATTGTCCACCACCTTGAGCGTAGAAACACACCACCTAATGCATCCTGATGCTTGGCCATGGTCATCCTATGTCATCCTGGAAAGCCAAGTGGGTATTGCTCAAAATTACACCATCATCTTGTTGGTAAAAGCCATAACTTGCTTTTCTGGGCTATATGATGCTCTATGATGCTCTGTGCACAACATGCACAATCTGTTGAGGCAGTGTCAAGTTGCACCCTTCGCAAACCCTCTCTGATACGCCACATCTGTCACTTTTGAGGTCTGAACCACTGGTCTTGTCCACAAGACATTGTATAGCTCTGAGCAGCAGGTGGCCTGCGGACATTCCGCAGGTTCGGAATTTGAAGCCTCACATTCAAATTCCAAGCAAAGCCTATATTCAAAGCCTCTAAAGGCATAACATGGCATAACATGGCATAACAATGTTGGAATGCTCACATGTTTCTATGCAAAGAGTGGATCAAATGTTTCCATGTCCCCGGGGTCCGGTCAGCCTGGCAAGCTGCACTGCGGAATGGTCCTTGAAGATGGAAAATAGGCACGTGCGCTTGGCCTAGGGTCGGATGCCATCGGTTCTCGGATCGTCTCAAGGTCCTATCAACCTCTCCCACGGTCGCGTTGCAGCAACCTTGAGTGGTTCACCTGAGTTGACCTGGGAGACTTCACCGAAGTAAACTGATAAAAGCATAACAAAAAGATACAAAAAGCATGCAACCAGGCTCAACCAGGTGGCCAAAGGCACAGGTCAGCATGACTCGCCAGTCGCGCCAGAGCCAGTGTCGAAGAGATGGTGCTGCTCCCATCTCCTTTGCCAAAGCAAACATGTAGTATCCTCAGCTGCCCGTCACAACAGCTGGAAATGAATCGACTTGAAACTGAGTCTGGGGCCATAGTCCACACCTCAGATTTGCATAGTTTTTGTCTGTGCAGATGTGCAGATCTGTGCAGGTAGTATATGATGTTAGGCTTTTCTGGTGCAAAAGTATCCAGCAACTTCGTCCAAGCAGCGGCGCTAGAGTCCTGGGCTCCTGGCCATAACAGAGCCTGGAATCGGTGAGTCTATAGCAGGAGCTGTCCAGAGGATGTCCCTCCTGGCGCAAGATGACATGGCGTCGGAAAATGAAGGACACCGTGGGATACCCAAAAATTATTGACAATAAGAGCAGATTTTGGAGACCCAAAACATCCCAAAACATCCCAAAACATCCCAAAACCCAATTTTTTGCCAAAGACAAATGGGACCATGCGGTTCCCAAGCTGTCCTTGACCTTATCTTCCATGGGTGGAATCGCACCTGCAGAGGATGAAAACCCAATGAACTTGTGCGGTGAGGATTGATGGAGATGAAATTCACTGAAAACATCTGAAAACACTTGAAAACACTTGGGCAAGGAGACTGTGTCAAAGTTCCAAAATCATGCTCGAGATCAGCAAATTTCTGGCAATGCATGGACATCATGGACTTTTTTTTTGTTCAAGCTTCAAACTGCGTCGACCACGTGGCTGGCTCCGGTGTTCGGATTCCAGCCTGTGACGCCGGGAACATTATCTTCGGGGCAGGGGCTCGGGCACTTCTCCGGAGCATCGGACATGCGCTCATAGGTGGCAGGGCTGACTTGGAACCAAGGAATGCTGATCTCTGGGCATAGTTCGTCAGTGGCCAGGCCCTGCTCCAGAATCTCTTCGTTCACGTCTAAATCCATCGAGGCCATGGACTCTGGGGCCCCCTGTTGAAACCAGTCTTTGAATGTTTTAAAACTGAATTTAGCACCTTTCATAGAGCTGGATCGTTTCTTCATGTTCAGGCCCCTGGCCAGATTGTGAAGCTGTTGCTCCAGCATGGAGGTTAGGGCAACTGTGGGTGGGGCAATGACGATGGCCATTCCCAAGGGCACCATGGGGATGATGCCAAACACGGCAGCAAGGACTACGTAAGCCATACACAGAATTGCCAGCAGTAGCTGCAGCACCACCTGGACCCTTTCCACACGCCGCATTTGAGACTTTCGGGCCTGGCAGCAGACGATTCCGATCACCAGCACAGCAGCGGCGAACACCAGCCCCGCAAGTACTTTCTCAATCGTGGTGTGGATGGAGAGAAGGTGATGGTATTCTGTTCCCAGAATACCATCAATCGCGGAAATGCTCAGCAACAGCCATCCCAGCATTGCCAGGCATGTTAGGACAAATGAAGGAGCGATGATTGCGCGCTCCAACCTTGGTGGTTTGTTGATTCCTGGTAAAAGTCTTTTCTACTAGTGGGTTCATGTGGCTTATGCATGCCTATGTATGCTTATGACTGCTTATGTGGTAAATCCATCTGACCCCCAAAACATC